GGCATATCTTGGGGAGTTAATGCTGTATCGACATGATCAGTACATTTTATCGGTTTTAATTTGAAACAACATTATCATTGCCGAATATTCGTTTCCCAAACGTATGCTGTATGTCGCATCTTTCCAAAGCACAGCGTATGCACTCTCTGGCTATGGAAAGGAGCGGGAAATACAGAGTAAATATCTAGGTGATATATATACCCACTCCGTATATATATTGTAGTGGGGAGACAAGCTCTCCACTACGCATTGCGCTCACCTCCTCTTTCTTATTCTCTACGAGTTTGCTATGTAAGTGTTGGGCTATGAGGTTACAAGTAGCAGATAGACACCGATTGAGAATACACACTCCTAACCTCTCCGAATCCACTTCTTGGGTAGTGGTTCCTTTATATGCAAAGTTGAGTATGAAGCTGAACTACGAGTGCTGAATCGACCCGTATGCCTCAGAGCATACTGCGTTGAGCGTTCCCCTCTTCAATATATAACCTAATACTTCGTTATCATGGAGTATTACATATTTGTATGGAACATTTAGCGTCAAAAATCCATAGTGGAGATGAAATGCAAGACAGTGAGCAACCTAACGTTGACATCTAGAGATTGCATTCTACACTATGATTCATCAATATCATTCTATTGAGTAGAACATTTCATTTAAAGACCTCCCCCCTCCCCCCCTTTATTTAATTGTGTTAGAAAGACCATACGATGTTGGGTAAGTCCACGCGACCAACCGGCTAGCACCTTGGCGCATAAACACTTGTGATAAGCGTCTCAAGCCTCTGAGATAAGCGCAGCTTGTATTCCGCAGCTTCCCCGCATATGGAATAGCCCTCTATCGGAGCTTAACCACAAAGAGAACTCGTCTGGCAATGCCTTCCTGATGCGTTTGAATCGGAGAGATACTTAGATTGATGATCTCCCCAACTCTTAGATTTGTAAATATTCTCTGCGTCCTTGAATCCTGATCCACTATGAAGGACGGTCCACTCCAAGGCGATGATGCCCGGTTGGCGGCCATGGGCCATCGGCCAGAACTCCAACGTAGTCATTCGACATGGTAAGAGAGATGCGCCAGCATATGTAAGGCTTGCTGCTGACGGAAATTTCTAGGTCAATGCTTGGTTTGGCCTTTGCGGTTCTTAATGTACGTTAGACATGGATTGCGACCGGACTATTTAGCTAACTAAGCTAGTCGTGGACTGCGCTTTCGGCCAGTTTGTCAATCAGTCTTACATCTGGTGGAAGCACAAGTGTGATTTGGGGTGGGCTTATCTAGAAGATACTTGCTCTCCGAGTCTTTGCTAACACGCAAATTCTAGGACTGGTGACTGCAGGATTCTGCAATCTTTGCATCGCATGTTCGCTGGCTGAATTTCTCTCCGCATATCCGACGTAAGCTCTGACATATCTCCTTTTGATATACATACCAGACTAACTCCTTTTTTCTTTTCATAGAGCCGGTGGACAGTATCATTGGGTTGCAGGTAAGTCCCTCCGTACCTACAAAATCTATACGATTTGGGCCAACACTAACCTTGATGCTAGCTAGTACGTTACTCTCTGATACCGGGCCACATCCATACTAAAGAATCGAAAGTCGCGTGGCCAAGCACAGTACCAATTCTATCATGGATTACAGGTTGGATCAATGTGGCAGGCTGGGTAGGAAGGGCAATCATTCAATGTGGTGCTCAAACTAACGCCCACGACTAGGTTGCACTCGTAGCGACGAACTCCCTTCTTTCTAGTCAGCTTATTGTTGGCGTCATTTCCGTTCTTCATGAGGTCAGAAATCTCACCCGTACTCTTACCGCAGTACTAACTTGATGTACAGAGCTATGTCCCGCAACGCTGGCATCAATTTCTCATCTACATTGGATTGACCATTGGCTCCTTCATCATCAATGCTTTCATGAACTCCATCTTGCCGGTCATTTACCGCGGTGCTTGTGCGTTGCCCTCGTCCACTTCGGCTTGGTCCATCTCTAACCATATCCAGTTATGTGGTCGATTGGAGGTTTTGTGATTGTGTCAATTACGTGTCTGGCATGCGCTTCTCCCAACTATAATTCCGCTTAGTATGAAATCCTCTGGCAGTATAAAATTATGGCAGAGAACTGACATCCACAGCTTCGTGTTCTGTGACTTTGTCAATACAACCGGCTGTACGGCTCCCCGATAACTCCATTATGAGGATTTTACTAATTCGGCTTAGGGCCCGATGGAGTTGCATGGCTTCTAGGTGTATGTTTACTGCACTCACTATAATACTGCAAGGATACTGACAGATATTCTAGTTGCTTCAAGGAGGGCTTGGTGTGACTGCCTTTGTAGGTCATCATGGTCATTGCATTACCAAAACCAAAACAACTGACTTTATCTAGGATGCGGTGGCACACATGATCGAAGGTAACGGATTACCCTAGGTCTGAGAAGATAGATAAAGAGGCTGACATATTACATTTTTAGAGGTACCCAACGCTGACATCGAGGGACCGAAAATCATGGTTACCTGCGTGGGCATCGGTGTGTTCACCGGTTCTATCTTTTTGATAGTCCTCCTATTCGTCGCAGGAAATATGGAAGCTGTCACAACCTCCGCAGCCGGTCCACTTCTACAGATCCTGGTCGATGCGACTAAAAGCAACGCGGGAGGTATCTGCCTTTTGATGTATGTGGTGAAACTTTCCCCCATCGTGCTTCCACTCTGACGCCAGGTTCTAGGTTGCCTCTGGTATGCTTGGTCTTTGCTATAATCAGCGTCATGACCACCAGTAGTCGAATGATCTTTGCTTTTGCAAGGTATTTGATCTTCTTCCCGGCATATAACACGTATACTCATTCTTCACAGAGATGGGGGCCTTCCTGCCTCTCCGTTCTTCGCAAAAGTTCACCCAACTCTCAAATTGCCCCTCAACGCACTCATTCTCACTGTTGTTGTGGTGATCGCATTCGGATGTATCTTCCTAGGCTCTTCAAGGTAAAAATCACCATACATGGGCGATAGCGCAAATGGTAACTAACAGAAGTTAGTGCTTTCAACGCAATTATCTCTGCCTCAGTCGTGGCTCTTGATCTGTCCTATGGAATACCCATTGCCATCAACTGTCTTCAGGGACGCAGATCACTCCCCGAAAGGAAATGGAAATTGCCCAATGTACTTGGATGGTTTGTCGATTTGGTATGTTGGGATCATGGGTGAATTTGAATAAAGCGGAACATCTCTGACCATGACTAGATTGCTTTATCATATATCGCTTTGACTAGCGTCTTATTCGTCTTCCCTCCGTCAAGCACGGTCACGGGAAGCAGTATGAGTGAGTTTACCTGTGGGCTTATCTATGACAGTTTGTCCACTAACGTACGTAATTAGACTACTGCATTGCAGCATTTGCTGTTATTATCATCATCTCCGTGTTCCAGTGGTTTGTGGACGGAAAAAAGAATTTCACCGGTCCTCGTGTTGACATTACTATCGACGCACTGGATACCGTGCCTACAAGAGAGGAGCTCGAGCCCAATATGCATGAAAAGGAACTTGCTGGTCGAGGCTAGCTGTATTAAAGATTACTCTTTCTCTCTAAGAAATAATTCGAGGTCTTTATTCTTAAAATCATATTTCTTATTTGATAAGAGCGGAATTAATTATAAAGAATATATCTATATTTCTATTAATTAGAGTACTTTAAGACTATAAATATATTATAACGTATTCGGTAAGCGAGCCGCCACTGTAAGCCAGCCGCCAGCTTCAAAACACATAGTAAATGGGACAAATTACAACTTGATATCTCAACCACCATAATATAATTTTAGATCTATTATTATTAGATAGGTATTGATAAGCATTTCTAGTAGTATATCTTAGATTCGAATAAATCAAACCCCTAGATTAGTATAGTATCGAAAATTATATCTCTAAATTCGAAAAATATATATATCTTAGTCATTAATTTACTTAATTTCCCTAAACTCCAACAAATGGCTAGATATCCTATAAAAAGCATTAGGGTATAAGAAAAAGCTCATATAGTCAACCGTTGTTGTAATATCATGTTGTAATTTATCGCATTTACTATGTGTTTTCAAGATGGCGGCTCGCTTACAGTGGCGGCTCGCTTACCGGTTACGTTACCGGATGACTATCTAAATAGCCTTATTGAGAATATGCCTATGAGGTGCTAGGCGGTGATCGATACAAATAGGGGTCCTACTAAATACTAGTTTAGTATATAGTATGAATTGAGAGTTGAGAGTTGAGAAATCTGTTTTTAAAAATATATACTTGTTTCACTATATAAAAATACTATATTAATTATAAGCTAGTATTTAAACTAATGTATATAGGTGGAGGTGGGTGAATTTCACTAGGGTAGACTGTTGTAGAGAATCGGCTATCTAGCCACGTACAGGCCCCCCCCCCCCCGGGGGGTATAGAATATATAGATTAGTAGGATATAGAAGAGAAACATGTCTAGATAGAGTAGTTAGTTGATTTAATTCAATAGCATTATGGTTGAGAGAAATACATTTAAATTTAATAGGTTGGGTGGGGTGTCTAGCTATGGGGTGAAATATGTTAGTGCCTCCTAGAGTAACGGACCTTAGAAGCCTGAACAATAAATAAAATAAAATACAATGAAATTTAAGAATACTAGTGGTACTACTAGGTCCACTTGTTCTACATGTGCATACTAACCTATGATCTGACAGCATTCGAACTTTCAACATCAGCCAATCAGTGATTAATAGTGGGTACTTCGAATAGGAGTTTGGGAACAAAAGATTCACCCACCTTCCTATACGAATCGCCTGCATCGGTGTACATGAAGGCCCCCAAGATGCTGGGACTCAGTTCTCAGCTGGCCTTCACATAAGCCACAAATATTCCCATTTATAATAGATCGGTGTCACAACTCTCTACCGTATATCTCGTTTACCTCTTTAATCCTCTCCATTAGTGCCCAGTTATAATCATCTTCATCCTCTTCATCATGTCTTCCGAGCAGAAGCAGGAGCAGGAAGAGCCTGTGGTGGACCAATCCACCATGCAGAACACCACAACTCTAGATGACGAGGAGAAAAAAGTGGAGGTCCCCACCGTCGACGAGCCACACCATCATGGAGACGAAATTATCGTGGTGGTTAGTATCATCCTCTCCCTATATTTGTCTTTTCATTTTGACATGAAACGGTTAACAATAGATGGGTTGTTTTTTAGGAAGACGGAGAAGTCACAAGTATGCCTATAAGCTTTCAAATGGTAAAACCCGGCGACGGTGAGGAGGAAGAGGTGGTGTTAGACAACTTCTAAAGAAGGGCCACGCGATTTTCGATATGGAAGGGGAGCAGATCAGAAAGAGGAATGTGTAACAAGCATTCAACGATGTTGCGGTGGAATGAGGAGATTGTAAAGGACGCGAAGCGAGCCATGGGACCGGCCTATAAGTCCTCCTATATTTGCTAAACACTGGTGATTTGTCAAATTACAAGTTGTTCAAATAGTGCGTTCAACACTTAAGATGCCTATTCCAGGCCAATATAGCGAGTGTTCAAAAAATTCGAGCAACCCATGCGATTTCTCCAAGCATATTTCAAGTTGGGTTTATTGCTCTTGGGTAAAACGGCTGAGACGTCTCCCCCGCGCGGGGAAAATAGAAATAACTGCTGGGAGAAACATCACAGTAGGCATTCAGAACTATCACTTTGATCGCCTAGTCAACCTGCCAATTGTGGTAACCGATGTCCCCATCATGGGATCCACTTCTACGCATTAGGACCATGCATCGAGATCTGTCGATCCATGCAAAATGACGTGGCGTGCCGGGACGCAGCTCTCCAGTTGAAAAGGAAAGAAGATCCGTATCCACTTGCGTCTTGTCCAGCGAAATCTTTCACAAACCATTGACCCTCCGACGAATATGCGCTTCCGCCCCTTCAGGCGCAAGAAGGAGAGGGTGAAGGGCAACGGCGGTGCTGTCCCAGCACCTGCGGAAAACGCCAAACCGCAAGAGAGATATCCAAAAGGTTCGGCTGAAGAGGAGCCGCTAACAAGTCCTATATCACCACCCGAGCAACCAGGGCAAGCACAGTTGGCACCATCGCCACATCAGCCAACTGAATCACAGAAAGACAATATTCGAAGCCCCGACAGCGAGCGCAAAGATGAAGCGCTGCATCCGGATGTCCCAGAGATGGACGCAGAGTTGATGGAAATCTGGGCTAAGATCCGAGACCGGGTGAAGGATCTCGCGGAACGAGAGAACAAATCGGTCAATGAGCATTTGGACATCGGCGAAGTTCTCAAAAATCTGGATAAAAAGGAGCTGGGAAAAAAGGAAAAGGTGAAAAGGTGTTTTAGCAACACATTGACCGTCATTAAGAAGGTTGGCGGGTTCGTCGTGGATGCCTCATCGCAGGTAAGCATCTCCTTTAGTGCCCTATTCGCGTACTGTTTCGTCGTCTTGCGCATGATTGACCAAGAAATAGGTATTTAAACCTGCATCGCAATGCTATAATGCCATCACATTCCTTATTGATGCGTATGAGGGGTACCAGGGTGCATTTGATGGGTTGGGTGAGCTTTTCGAAGAATGTACAGATTACTTGCACCGTCTTCCATATTACGTCAAGGGCAAAATAGATGCAAAATTGATTAAACTGGCGGCTCAGCAACTGGACTTGTTTGTGAGAGTCTGTGATGCGGCCTTGAGTCTGCGCTATTCAGCGGGTCAAAAGATCAAAATGGCATTCAAGGTTATGTTTCTGGCAGATGACGGTGTCCAGCCTCTCTTGGGTGAAATGGCCAAGCTCGTCAAACGAGAGCGCAATCTGGTCTCCGCCCAGACCTTCCTCTCTTCTCGCCAGGCGGCCGATGCGGCCCGTGAAGGATTGGATACGACCAAGAAAGTGGAGAGAATTGTCTCCGAGATGCAGGCTCAGGAGAGGGAAGTCGTTAGAGAAAACGCCATAAAGAAGGCGTTGGGGTTTACGAGCCAGCCGGATACACCCTGGCGTATTCGATATCGAGAATATTTAAATCAAAGACTGCCGGGAACAGGCCGGTGGATCTTCGATGAACCAGCATTTGCCACTTGGGAGACAAGGCATTCCGCAGCCAACATTCTCGCGATCGAGGGAGGCGATGGAACCGGCAAGAGCTTTCTAGCCTCAGCGATTATCCAACATCTTCTGCACAAGAAATCGACCAAAGACGCCGGTCCCCGTGTTTCCACTGCATATTATTTTTTTGAGGGGCCAGCACGGGATGCTGTGAGAAATGCAAGCAATCTCGAGACTGCGGCCAAATCTCTTGTCTGGCAGTTTACCCAGGCCGAAAGGCACTACAAGAAGTCAGTCGCGGAGATCTGTGCCAAGTCACAGGAGATCGACCCGGCCTCGATCTCCAGCGAGCTTCTGTTTGAAAACACTGATCTACCCGAGATGAACATCCTTTTTTATGTTGTTATCGACGGCTTGAGTGGTAAGATGGGAGAAGGCATGCTGCGCTTTCTGAGGCAGGCCTCTTCGATGAAAGTGCACCGACGTGTCCGAGTACTCCTCACTGTCGACTCTGAGTGTTGCCAGCATTTGGCAACTGTGGATGGTGTCTCTTTGAATTCTATCCCTATTAGCTCCAAGAGTCGAACGGACATGGAAATAGTTATGCAATCGAGGATGGATTCTATGATCGCCTTAGCTGATATGACACGCACGGGAATTCCAGAGCTAAGAAGTAGGATCTGTGACGAACTCTATCAAGCAACTAATGGTGACTATTTCCGAATTAACTTGGCTCTCGATGACATCAGCAAGCGAGAGTATATCTCCGATATCATGGATGCCCTGAAGAAAGCAGGCGAAGGACGCGTTACGCAAATAAAAAATGAAATAGAAGGACTCAATCACAACAGCTCAGAGGCAGAAATCTCCGAGATCAACGAGATAATTATCTGGATTAGACGCTATCGCGAAAGCTTGACGGAAAGACAGATGACAGCGGCTTTATATGCGGCAGTTGGAGAATCATCACTCTTAAGCCTAGCAGATAAGATCAAGGAGAAATATCCTCTGTTCAAGATTACCAATAAGGGTGAAGTGACTTTCCGAGCTCCGGAGGTTGAGGAGTCAATCCCTGACAAGCACGGTCCTTCATCTCTGCAGGAGGGCCCAGGAGCAGTAGTCTCCCCAGGCGAGATGGCCATGATCAAACATTTCCTCTCCACAGTCTGTCCCCAGGAGACTTACACCAAATTAGAGTTTGATCAGTTTCTCGAAAGCAAAAAGCAGATTCGGAAGAACCAAATCTACAAGAACGAGTTGCACATCGAGGAGGCCAAGATGGCGCTCACTTTGTTACGCCTGCTCACGGGGGAGACAAACCAACCAAGTGGAGATCTGTTATCGTACGCAAGAAGAAACTTCGTACAACATCTTTCCACTGTCAACTTGGCACTAGTAGACATTGAATACAAAAAGCTCTTTGGACCCCACCTGATCAAACTCTTCAGGAATCCCGCCGCCATCGATATCGCACTGAACAATGATGAGCTTCCTGGCCCCTCGACCACACAACGTCAAATTGGCCGTGAATTTATGCTTAGCGATGAGGTTGCCACTCTGATTCTTCGCTGGTTGAATGACACAGCCGTTATATTGGAAATCGGCAGTGAAGATCAGCAGTGGGTCACTGGTCAGCTTCAGGTGGAAGGCCATCGAGGGTTACTGACCCCAGCTGCGAAGCAGATGGCTATCCATCTGTTGCAAGAGCCGCATTTCTTACCACTGACCTTGGATGCCTTCCGCTTTATCACGGGCTTCTTAAAGAAGGTCAGTTGTATCTTGATTTTAGTAGAAGAACTGACTGGTTGAGACCTTGTTAACGATGGGCTTCAGTTCGAACTCAATGACAAACCGCACAAAGTCGGATCTGTGGAACAAATTGAACAGGTCGAGCGATGGTGTGAGGGAGTATTGAACACGCAGAAGGACTCCTTGTGGCACACGCAAATTGGTAGCGTTCTACAAATCTATAGACACGAGGAGGAGGCGCAGGCCCGAGCCCGGCAAGCTCTGGAACTTGACCCAGAGAACTGGAGAGCCTCCACTCTTCTATCCGGACTGGTCAAGCCTCACGACGGGATCATGACGTTGAAGCCTGCTGTAGAGATCCTCGAGTCCAGTGGCCAAGGGAAGCGATCCTATCTCGAGCGTGTGGGACTCGCCAAGATGCTGTTTATTCTTGCGGAGCTGAGCTGGCATGAAAAGCAGATTGATGCCGCAATCGATTTCTGGATCAGGGCTGTGGATGTCGATTTCACTGACTACGGCCGCGTGATCAAGTGTCTACAATGCTATGCTAAACAAGAGCAATGGTCAGACATCATGACGATTCTGCGGAAAATGGATGAGAAACCCACAGAGCAGTTACAGGGTCTATCGGAAGTAATCGCCGCGGGTGGTGGCAAAGCATTCCCCCATAAAAGGATTCTGCGCGCAGCTCTTCATACAAAGCAGCTGGAGTTCATCGTCTCAGCGTACGAGCGTTCGGTTCAACTCGTTGATGAGCGTGGGGAGCGCGCAACATCATCCAATCTCCGGTACCACTGCGGACGGGCGGCTCATGCACTGCAGAACGGCTCATCCAGGGCGATTAAACATTGGCGTCAGGCTCTGGAAAATGCTGATCCCTATCTCTTGTCAATGTTAATCAGTTGCGTCGCACCATATTACCTGCAAAAGGCCGCCGCATCCGGATCTGATACCGAGGCCGTGTCGGCCTATCTCAGGGACATCGAGACGCTTCTTCCCGAGGGTGTTCCTGAGGCCGATGTCATCATTCCTCCGAGAGTCTACACTGCCCGCTATTACTGGAAGCAGGGCAACAAGATACATGCGAAGCAGATTGCTCGGGACATTGTGAACCTTAGTCTGGAAATCCTCTCCGATGATGATGAAGCGAATGACCTCCCTGCTTACAACCAGCTCCTGTCTGTATTCATCGCCTTCGGGGATATGACCAACGCTCTGGCAACACGGGCCCTCATTGTATTGAATTTCGACAAGGTTCAATCGGTGGTTTGCGATGGCGAGTGCAATCGCTCCTGGTCCCTTTCGGAGGAGACACAGTGGTGTCAGGATTGCATCGACGCCCACTTCGAGAAAGAGTGCTCTCGAAAAATCGAACATAACGCGCTCCCATTTTCTGTTTGTAACAACACTCATCAATTCCTCAACGCTCCTCAGATGGATGAATCTGTGAAGCTCATCCCACCTCGAATGGTGTCAGTTGGAGACGAAGTGATCTCGTTTGGAGACTGGCTGGCTCGCATTCACAGGGACTATGTTAACTTGAAGAGCTGAAGATGATCTCATACTACACACAATGCTGTTCCATTAGTTTGAAACCCCCGGTAGAAAAAGAAAGAGCTCTGCTCCACTAAAACCTCCAACTCAGCGAATAGTATTTAGTTGTGATGATAGCCTAGTTGAGAAGAATCAAGTGCATTGAATACGCGATACTCAGTCTAAGGAGAGGACGACAAGAAGGAAGTGTAGCCTTGCAGGTAAGCTGCGAGGCCGCAGACGCACTAGTCCTGAAAAGGAAACAGCGTCTGATCTGGATCGTCACACTACCCCCTATTTAAACGTCGATTCAGGTCCGTTAAATCGGCTTGTTATTATCTATATAATCTGACGGAAAGCTGGTGTACGAACAATGTATGGTATAAATGACCAATGTTGACAACTCTAACTAAAATGACAAAACCCGCTAACGTATTCGGTAAGCGAGTGGCCACTGTAAGCGAGTGGCCACCCCAACTAAAACCTACTAATTTAAATGCATATACGTCAACCAAAACTCCATTAAATTGAATAAACTAAAATCATCATCTATCTAGACATGTCTCTCTTCTATGTCCTAGCTTCCTACATATTCTACACCCTCGGGGGGCCCGCTAGGCCTTGACAAGTCCCACAGCACCAGCCAATTTTTGGTTCCGGTGCTGCAGCACCAAATGGAATTCTGGTGCTGTGGTGCTGCGACCATACCTATTTAGGCTAGAAAATTACCTAGATAGGAAAGTGATCGGCATGATAATGCCAAGGCAGCACTGAAACTAGCGCCTTGGCCCCTGCTTGGCGCCAAGGCGGGACCAAATCGGCGGGACTTGTCAAGGCCTAAGCTTTTCGAGCTAATAAAGGCTAATTTTATCGGAGGTCTAGCTATTAGGACTAACTTCGAAGCGCTAATCCTCCGGGAGGCTATCGAACTATAATTTAATAAAGACTTTGCCTTTAAAAACTATATATAGAGGAAGGGCCTAGCTAGAAGTATTCGTATACTTAATAATAGTTACCTACTCTCGATTTCTAGGTTATAAAACTAGCCTCCGACCGTAGTATTTACTCCTCGTAATAATCTTCGTAGTTATAGTTAATCCTATTATAAAGCCGGTCTTACCGAAGTTATAGATATCGTCGGGGTCGATCTTAAATTAAAGGATAGTTTTTTAAATAAGATCAAACTACCCTTAAATGATTTTAGGGTCTTTATATTTCGCGCGCTTATAATTATATCGTTTCGAGAATCGGGAGGAAAGGAGAGGATACCGTTTTATATAGTTAAATACCTATTTTTCGCTGACCGAAAGAACTAGGGTAGTTCTACGCTTTTAAAGAAGAAGATCTACTATTTCTCGTACTATAGAGGGCCGAGGGGCCGCTCTACGTAGATCTATAGAGAGAATCTATTTTTAAAGAGACTCCTCTTTAATTTTAGTTAATTTCGAGCAATTAGCGCGTGAAATCACGCGGTGTTATACTCTATCAATTCGGCGGCGGAGAGTTGTACGCGGGATATTGAATATACGCGTAGTAAGAGAAATAGAGCTAATATCTCTATTTTTAAAAGCCTAGATAGCTAATAAGATCCTACCCTCTTACTCTATTGAATTTTTAGAGGATTGAGAGCGTATTAGTGGCATAGTAGGTGGTTGAATTAACTAAGTGCTAATTCATGGACGCGTTTTTGGTTAGGGTGGCCACTCGCTTACAGTGGCCACTCGCTTACCGAATACGTTATTTCAACAATCTGTGCGGACAATGATGACTAACTGTAATATGCACTTTTGTATGGTATGCCTGGTACCCAATGTCACATGATGTTTCCGGTATATTACCTGGTTTCTACCATATATTCGGACTTGGTATTCGACATTTTCGACCAGCTATACTCAGATTTCTGAGACAACCAATTAGTTGGTTTAATCACTAGCTGCGACTTTGCTTACCCGTCGACCCTCATGTTTTCTTCATTCATCGGCTAGTCGATAATGTTTCGTTTATTCTACTAATGTGTTGTGGAAAGCATCATACTAGCTATTAAATTGAATTGAATTTCCGAGGTTTCTGCCAGGCAGTATTAGAAAAGTGGGTCCACGGCCGAAGTATCGGAGGTCAAATACTTGTGTTACACCACTGTATTAAGAGAAATGCGATCCAAGTAATGGCAGTCAAATATAGGGTATTGTCACGAAATACATACATACGGCGTACCGTATGTTACACTATAAAAGTGGACCGCTGACCTCATCGGCATAGATCAAGCCCTGAAATGTTTCCTCTCTCTTCTGTATTCATTCACCATGTCGATGCTCAAATTACCCCCCGAACTTCTCATACGAATCGGGACACATTTAGAATGTTCCGATCTGAATCATCTTCTGGAATGTCATTCCTATCTATTCAAGATCCTCAACAAACCCCTCTATCAACGCAATGTGCAGGAACACGATGCCTCGGCACTGCTATGGGCAGCATCTAAGGGGTCGGCATCGACTCTGCAATATCTCATTGAGGCCGGAGCAAATGTTCAATATAAATCTCAATATTTTGCCTGCTCCATACAAAGTGAGGGATCACGCATCCGATGGCCGATTCAAATTGAGGACATGAAAGAGCATCCAATATCATACGCGGCAGCCCAGGGACATATAAAAATCGTGGAGTATCTCCTCGATTTAGGAGCTGATCTTAATTATCGCGACCGGGATGGGTTAACGCCCCTTGCCCTCGCAGCTCGCGAGGGTCACCTGACTCTTACTCAGAAACTCATTTCTCTGGGCGCAAAGCAACTATCACACGATACCGAGGGAAGATACCCGCTTTCACAAGCAGCATCAAAGGGTCACCATGAGATCGAAGACTATCTCTTCGACCAGCTTCGCCAATACGCTTATAGCAAACCAGATCCCGCACTGGACCTCTACTGGATGTTGAAATACGCCGCGGAACAGGGCGATGACGCCCGCATACGATACCTCTTGTCCCGGGGAGCGGATGTTAATTTCCAACTACCCGAAGAGAGTCATCCACCGCTATGTGGTGCACTCCGGGATGCTCCACGGCCATTCGGTACCGCCAAGCTTTTGTTAGATCATGGAGCAGATCCAAACGGAGAAGCTTCACGATCGAAATCCTACTCACCTGGAAGAAGGGAACGGTCCGTTACAACAGTCTTTTGCGCTCTATTGAGAGACGAGAGCTATTCTCTGATTGAGCTCCTTTTTCAATACGGGGCGATAGCAATAAGGCACGGCCAGACCTTGCTGATAGCAATCAACCTAGAAAAGCCTCGCGAATTTGAATATTTAGTGGAGCGTGGAGTCAGCCTAGATGCAGGATATCGCAGGACAACTGTCGCTAAAAGTGCAATGAGTTCTGGATGTCAACCTATTATTGATATTTGCTTGAAGTATGGAGTTTCTCGAGATACCAAATGATCGTGAGTCGACTGATATGGACTTTCTACATCGAGAGTTTGTGAAATTCCGATTTGTTAGGTAAATAATAGATTCATCGTGTTGTTTGTAGGAAAAGACAAATTCATTTCCAGTATCCAGGGAGGTAGAGTAGCGAATTTAGAAGAAAGGAAGGTTAGACTACGCAAAGCTCTGCTTCTTTCTGCTTCTTCCCGTGTCTCATAAAAACTCAAACTAAGATCTAGTATGATTCTAGCTGTGTCGACTATATCCCATGATATGGATATCTCATCGACAGAGTGCAAGTTCTGTGTTGACATGCTTTAGTTCACATTCTTGGGGTCTCTGCAAGTACCGTCTCCCCAGTTTGCCTTTTCACTAAGGTAGAGACCTGTAATAGACAAAATTAATACCGAGGAAGCTGCTTGTCATAACGGTGGTACATACCAGAAACCATGTACATCAAAGTGTCTGAATAGCCTAGTTAGTTCTGACAAAAAGTCTTGTAATCAACAGGTACACGCTTACCTGCGTTCTTGAGTGGACGAATTTTCGATATGGTTGTCTCGTCTTTGTCCTCCTTGGCAAGCTTGTTGATTGCGACCCATTCATAGGCAGATACACCATTGTTCAAGTCTTCATCGTCTTTGCGTCAAATTGACAGTCAGCGCAAATGTCCATGAGAAAGCAGCAGCATCAAGGAAAGAATTCACTTACCAAGGCTACCTTTGGCACTAAAGTATGATTTTGTATGACTTAGTTCGTGCAAAAACAGACTCTCGGGAGTAGCGTCCAAGACATCGTCAATGGACTTGGTTAGGAGTGATTTCAGAGTCTCCTGTTTCTGCGAAATGAGAGTTTTGCCTGTCCAAGCGTTCCAGGCTCTGGGACACACAGTCATGAAGTCTTTGACGTTACCTCGACTCGTGGTCATAAAAGCAAGGGTATCCTCATCGCCGTTGGCTTCTTTGCAAATATCCGTGTTCTCGTTGTCGGTCATTATAGCCAGTGGTTCACCAGTCAATTTGAACCAATCTGTTGTTACCCGATGAAATAGATTAGCATCGAGTCAAAGCAGGGTAAAATGGCAGTCCAAAGAATCTTACAATCTCCTGCTTTATTCTTAGTACCATCAGTCACCCATTGTGTATGATCGCAATACACGTCCAGCTTGAACGCATTCCCGGACAGGCCTTTATTGTATTTGGTCACGAAACCTGTGCTCACAGATTAGCTCTTGGCCAAATATCTTTGATTAGTGTCAATCAGACATACTTGACAGTGACTTCAACTTGGTCTTAGCATTTTTGACCGCGGTTTTATCAGTTGGCTTGAATTCTCCGTAAAGTGATTGATAAAGGTCAACGTATGATTTTTCAGTAGGAAGCATTTTCTTGCGATCTTTGCTCATTGCCTTTTCGATTGTAGAAATTGATGTCTTGGCACTGCCAGTCTATTCATTAGGCACACACAACTAGTTAATAATCTCTGCAACTCAATTTTGGCAAGAAAACGATAGAAGCGATAGTTCAGCCTCACGAAGCACTCACAACAGTAACCATATTATTTAATACGTCCTCAAAGAAGCTCTCCTTTCCC